TCGCCGCTCGGGTCGACACCAGGACTGGGCGTGCACGGGAGCGAGGACCAGCCAAGCGTCATTGTGAGCGAGTAACATACAGGAAAAACAACATTTTGGAGAAAAATATATTTCAGAGCTACTTAAAATACAGCTGATTAAAAAAGAAGAGAGACAAATATCCAGGTGTGTTTGTGACTCAGTTTCTGTGACAGAGCTGGCTCTCGGGGAATGAAAGGAATGTGCTGGGAGCGGGCAGTGCCCAGCCCCCTGCTTGTGCCCGGCTCCCGGGCCGGGGGTGTCAGGGAAACCCCCCCAGGGGTTCCTGGTGCTCCCCAGGGCCGCCGGTTTTGGATCCCCAGGGAGCAGCCCAGGGCTCGAAATGCCCTCGGTGGGGTGGGTGTGGGGAGTGGCGGGTGAGGGCTCTGCCCAGTGCAGGGCCGGCGGGAGCAGCCCTGCAGGCACGGGATGGGGGTGAAGCGATGCCTCGTCCTGGGGCAGGTATGGGGGGTGGCTGGGGGGGCTCTCACTGGGTCCCCCACCCCTGTGTGACAGGACCTTCCTGGGGCAGAGGCTGGAGCAGCAGAGTGGGGGCTGCCAGGGGGATGGATGGGGGGTTCAGCGGCCTTTGGGGTTCCCCACGCTTCTGGGGCCCTGGGGGGAGCTGGGGAAGGTTCTGACCCCCTCCCCCAGCACTCGGGGTCCTGGCACCGGCAGAGCTTTGGGGTCTTTCTCCCGAGGACGTGGCCCACTGGCCTCCCGTAGGCGTGGGGGGTGTGTGGGAGGGGTGTGGGCAGGAGCCTCGTTTCATGTTTCCTGAGCTGTTTTGGAACATGAAGAGAAGGTTTGTTGGGGAAAATGTCCCCAGCACGGAGGGCAACAGCCTTCACCCAGCCGGCGCTGAGCAACAACCCTGGAATGTTTTTCCTCCTCGGCTTTGCCAGCGCAGCCAGGGCAGCCCAGCGGCACCTTTCATCTCGGCGGGCGGGTGCCCGCGGGACGAGGGTTTATCTCAGGACTGGTATATCAGGGTTAATAGCTCATCCGCCGCCGCCGGAGGTTGAGCCAGAAGTTTCTGCCACCGGGATCCCGGGCCTGGGAGGTGGGTGGCAGCAAGAGGGTCCCCGGCTGAGCCTGTGCGCACCCCTCGGCACAGGGACAAGGCTTTGCTGTTCAGTCACCGAAACGCAGCCTGGGAGACCTGGAGAAACCTTCCTCCTGTCGCTGCCTTTCAGCTGGTGCTCGGCGCAGGGTTCCCGGCTCCCTCGGAGCTCGGGGGGTGATTTCTGAGGGACGAGCTGTGCTGGGGAGGGATTCGAGTGACCCGTGGGGGGAGCGTGGCTGCTGCCTCCTGCCTGGCTCGAGCCGGTGCCCACCGCGGTCACCACATGGTTAACGCGGTGGCCGTTCCCTCTCGCAGACACTTCGGGAGCTGGTTGGGTAAGAAATGGAACAAGTTTGGTGGTTTTCGCTGGGGCCATCGCTCACGTCTGACATGACAAAGTGACCGGGCTGCGCTGCCTTGCCGCAGCAGGCAGGGAGGGTGGTGCAGGAACGTGCCCTGGCCAGGAGGCCAAGGCCCGGGTGCTATTTCTGGCCATGCTCCCCTGTGGGCACGGGGCCGGTCCTTGCCACTGGCCGCCTTCCTGGCTCCGTCTCTGCTGGGCAGGATGGAGCGGAGCTGGGCAGGAGGGGCAGGACCAGCCTGGGGAGGCTGGGGGCTGGATTCTGCGCTTTAGGTCATGATCTGGGGTGTGAACGTGGGTGTCTGTGGCCCAAGTGATCCCCGAGCAGGTCTCGTCCTTTCTGCCCACAAAGTCCTGGCTCAAGGGCTGTGCATGGGTGGGGAGCAGCGTCCCAGCCCCCCCAGCCAGGGGCAGCCCCTAGGCTGTGTCTGCCCAAGGGCCGGGGCCGGCTCCCGCGGCGCTGCCCAGTGCCTGGTCCCACAGAGCCCCCTGCAACGCCGCCTGCGAGTGGGCTCCTGCTGGGACCCTCTCGATGCCTCGTCCCCCTCTGCCTTGTCCCTTTGGGTCCCCAGGGCTGCACCCTCCTTGCACCCCCTCCCGGGGGCTCCCCCCCGAGCAGCCGTGCCACTTCGGCCATGGGTCGCGCCTGCGGGAGCTTTCCTGCAGTGCCAGTGCGGCTCTGGGCCAGCAGCTGCTTTATCCTGCTCCCTCCTTTGTGCCACTGAAGAACCATCGCTGTGTGTTTTCCTGCGGGTGAGGTTTTGGAGCACGCAGGGGAGGGTGTGGGTCGATGAGGAGCTGGACACGACGGGGACCAGCCGGGCTCCTCAATGGCGCCTGCAGGGACGACGCTGGTGGCTGCAGCCACGACCCCGGGGGAGCCACCCCCCCCCAAGCTGAGCTGAACCCACCATCAAAGCTCCAAGACTCTCTCCCCTTCTTCCACGAAGCTTTAATTGCCACGAGTGCTCGGACACCCGACAGATACAACCCGTCGGTACACCCCAGTCCCGCGGCCTCTGCCCCAGCCGCCCACCAGCCGCCCCGTCCAGGCTGCGCTGGCTCCCGCTAGCTGTGTCTGGAGCCTTCCACACCCAATCTTCTGCCAGGCATTTAAAAATAAAACAATAAATAGCAAAAAAATAGATATGTACATAAATAAAATAACTATTTTTCCACTTTTTTTCCTACAGGGCGGCCCAGAGCTGCTCAGGGGGCTCAGCTGACGAGCATGGGGAGGAAGTGGGTGGAGAGGTGCTGCCGGCGAGTCTTGCCCCCTCGCTGCGGCCTGCCCCTGCTACTGAGCGAGAGGAACATGGGGCGGCCCCGGTGCCGCCAGCGCAGCGACGCGTAGGTGTTGTAGCCATTCTCCTCGATGCGCTCCGTGAACTTGCAGTTGGGGCTGAACTCCTTCTGGCAGGAGAGGGAAGGGGCTGAGGGGCGGCCGCGCTCGGCCGGGGCCCATCGTTGCCCTGCTCCGGCGGGGCTGTCCCCCAGGAGTGCGGCAGGGCAGGACCCCAGCTCCCCCCGAGTCCCCGGAGGGCAGAGGGGCTCTGCAGGTGCAATTGCCCGCTGGGAGTGGGTCAGGGTGCGGAAGCCAGGAGCCCGCTTCAGGGCACCAGTCCCAGCGGGATTGGAACCCCCCATTCCAGCTCTGCCCTGCACCTCTGACCCTGGTCCAGTCCCTCCCGGGAGGCAGCGTCCGACCTACCGACCCGTAGAGCCTCCCCCGCTTGTTCATGGCCAGGTAGAAGCCGGTGTGCACTGCCCGGATGGCCACGACGCCGACACGCACCGACCGGATCTCGACGATGCCTGCGGGACAGGAGGCGCGGCGGTGAGCCGGGGAGGTATGGACGGATGGACAGATGGATGGGCAACCTCCCTACGGCGCCCTGCCCTGACCCCGGGTCTGCGGGCGCCAAGTGCCCCCCCGCAGGGACGGGGCTGCCAACCCTCGCCCAGCACCGGAGCAGCCGGAGGGACGATGTGAGCGAAGGCTGAGCCAGGAGCGGGAGGGGGAACCTCTGAGCCAGGGGGGATTCGATCTTTACCCCTCCCCGGGGCTCAGCTGCTTCCCAGAAGCCCAACGGTGCGGGAGTGGCGCCAATCCGCCTGCCTGGAACAACCTGCCAGCCTGCCCGGTGCCGACCTCGCGTTTATCCTTCCCTCGTTGGCAGCTCTGCCCATGTGTCTGTCCCGAACACGCCCGCGGTGCCCAGGGACCCGACCTGCCTCTCGTGGCCCCCGGCCCCCTGCGTGCTTCAGGCACCAAGGCCAGCGCGGCCTTGGGGGGGCAAAGTGTGCCTGGGGGTGGCGGCGATGGCGCACAACTGCATCGCGGTGGCCAGAGGCGCCCAGGCAGGGGCCTGCGGGGCAGGAACGCGGCCGGGACGGGGCTGCCCGCGGGTACCGGTGCTGATCGCTGGCGCGAGCGGGGACACACGGCCCTGTGCTGGGGATGGCGGGCGGGTTGCGGCGGGACCTGGCCGGCGTGTGCCCGGGCACCG